ATTTATTAAAAATTTCACTGTGACCAGAGAGAACCTTCCCAGGCAACGCCACTGGATGCACTAACTCAGAGAGAGTTGCTTGATGCTCACCTAGAAGGACAAATGCATATTATGAAGCTCTGTCCAGCGGAGCTTTTCCTGTTTTGTTTTGTTTTGAGGTGTGTGGTGGGGAGGGGTACCTCTAGTATATTGAAGGCCGCAAAGGTGCTTATACCGATGTAAAATATATAATGTGCGCTTTCATTTGTCCATTTGCCAAAGTGGTTTATAATCCTATTAGGACATACATCCTTGAAAACGTAACTGAAAAGGCTCATATCAAGAATAATCCAATCAGGCTCATATCAAGAATAATCCAATCCCATTTTCTAGAAAACATGGACATCTGATTGGAGCAGAGCATTCAATATTAAATCTCAATATTCAATATCAACTCTCTTGTAGGTTCTTCATTCATTTACTGATGCTATTTTTGATGAGTGGATGAAAAGGTTTAAGCCTTCTGTTGATGTTTGGCCTCAGGAGCTGGCACCCATTGGTCATAATCGGATGTTTAATATGGTGCCTTTCTTCCCACCGGTTACTAATGAAGAACTCTTTCTAACTGCAGACCAACTGGGCTACACCTACGCCATTGACCTGACAGGTAACTAATATAGTTTCTCAATAGGGTGATTCCCTTATATTCCCCAGGAGCTCAGTTCCTTCATTTCTCTCTCCCTCCCACCGACTCTTTCTCCTTCCTTCTTCCCTTCCTTCCTTCCCTGTGTGCCCTCTCTCCCTCCCCCCTTCTCTTCCCTCTGTCTCTTTCTTTTCCTCACTCCCGTCCTTCAGTTTCTCTTTTGCACATAAGCCATGGCCCTTCGTTGAACACAGTCAGAGCTAGTTAAGTTTGTTGTTCTTTTAAAAGAATACATGCATATAGCAAAAACCAACTTCTTAAACTACCAATTAAACGTCAGCCAGGGCCTGGCAGTCTGCTGTTGTTTAGAGCATTTAGAGACCTTTCTCCATGGAGGGAGTGTATTCTTTACATCAGAGTTGGTGACTCAGGATCAACTGGATTCATTATAAAACTCCTCAAGCCAGAGTGGGAAAAATCAAAATAGTGAGTGTGGCACATAGAGACCGGGACCAGCCAAGTTTAGAGATGATTATTTGAAGGCAAGGGGGCCTGAGTAGTGCATGCAGTTTGCCATTGACTACAACTTAGAGGTTGGCAATTGGAACCCACCCAATGGCCCCACAGAAGAAGAGCCTGGCAAAGTCCTCCTGAGAAGGATACAGTCTGGAAAATCCAAGAGAGCTGTCTATATTCTCGTGAGGCCGCCATGAGTCCCGAGCCGCCGAGCAGCAGCTGACAACAGCAGTGACTGGCAGGGAAACCTGTGACTGAGGTGAGGCAAGAGCAGCACCTTGTGCCTGCAGCACAAAATTGTAGGTGGATGCCAGAAAACACAGTCATCTACCCACGTGATAGTGCAAAAGTAGAGCCAAATAATTAACACCCCCCCAAACAACAACAACAGACATAAGGGATCAGCGATCGCGGTTTTAAATGTAGCCAGGCAGCTGGTGTTTGTCTGTGTTACACTCCAACATTATTGCAGAACCAGACCAGCGTTTCCTTCCAATGAGCGAGGAAACTCCTTCCTCACTGGAGTGTTTATAATGAGGTGGAACTTAGCCTGCCAACAGATTGGACTACATAGGATTTTTAAAGATAGTCTTTGTTGCTGCATGTTACTTTAGAGCTTTTGTTAGCCTTTACCACCTGGTTCAAAATACTCGAAGCCATTTTGATAAGTGGCTATGAATCAAACCCATTGCTGCAGAATTAATTGAAGTTCTCAAGGATTTATCTTGCTTGGATCCATGAGCAATGCTATGGAAGCAAGAACAAGCATGATGGTGGGAAAGGAGGAAGGTAAAAAGAAATAGAGGAAAGATCTAGGATGCAAAGCTATGGATAGAGGTATAAACATAGGTGTGTGCATATGTAAATCCATAAAAATAGAGGTATTGGCTTATGTACATATATTTATATGGCAATACGCTGAGGTAATAGACAGACTTTGGGCCTCTGCTCAAGCCCTGCCTCAAAGCAAAAACAGTTTGTTCTAAAATCCTGGCATTCTGTGATGCTCACCCTCCCGGAACAATCACTGAAGACAAAAATGAGTGCATAAGAAAATGTGGTGAAGAAAGCAGATGGTGCCTGACTATCAAAAGATATAGCATCTGGGGTTTTAAAGGTGTGAAGTTAAACAAGCAGAGAAGCAACAAGCCCACGTGGAAGAAGCACACCGGACTGTGCGATCATGAAGTGTCGGTGGGATCGGGTAATAGGCATCAGAAGATCACAAAAAAAAAAAACCTTATTGTTGAGAACAAGCGGGTTCAGAGCAGAGACTGCAAACCCATCTGTAAAAAAATGGCACATCCCTTCACAGAAAGGTTACAAGGAAGGGATGAGTCAACCAGGGCACAGTATAGCACCCATGAAGCACACGATATTCTTCTGGTTCCTTGAGGCTTCCTTACCCCCGACTATCACGTCCCCAGTCCTGCCTTTCACAATGGGTTAGACCAAGCATGTACACAGGTACAGATAAGAGATAAGAGCTCATGACACATGGAATCCAGGAACATGAATGGGAGTAGCAATACCAGGAGGGTAGAGGGAAGGTAGAGAGAAGAGGGGAGGAAGGGGGAACTGATTGCAGTGATTGACACATAACACCCGCCCCTCCAGGGGTGATAAACAACAGAAACTGTGAGGGAAGGGAGATAGCCGTCAGTGTAAGACAAGAAAATAATAATAATTTATAATTTATCAAGACGCCATGGGGGAGGGGCAGAGGGAGGGAAAAAAGAGGAGCTGATACCAAGGACTCAAATAGAAAGTAAATGCCTAGAAAATAATGACGGCAACATATGAACAAATATGCTTGATACAATTGATGTATGGATTGTTTTAAGAGCTGTAGGAGCCCCCAATAAAATTATCTTTTCATTAAAGAAAAGGAGAGAGAGAAAAAAAACTTTGGGTAAATGTGCTGCACAAGACCTCTTTAATGTATTGAAAGGCTCACCTGTCTTGGGAGAGTGCTTCTTCCAGGTGAGCAGGGGAACACTTTGTCTCACAGACTGTGGACATGTTATCAGGAGAGACCAGTCCCTGGAGAAGGACATCATGCTTGGTGACATAGAGGGACAGCGAAAAGAGGAAGGTCTGTGATGAAATGGATTGACAAGCCATGAACTGATCTAACATGGGTCTACCTATAAGAACAGTTGTGAAGATGGAGCAGGAATGGGCGGAGTTCGCTCTGTTGTCAGAACTGAATCAGTCAGAACTGACTCATGCGCCTAGCGCTAATAGTCCTTAGGGTGCACGCAGTTTGTGCTGAGCGACTAATTGAAAGGCGGTGCTGCAAACTCACTCAATGGAGCCATGGAGGAACGGCCTGGAGATCTGTGTCCTTATCAGTGATCACCAAGAAAC